GAGCAAGCACCTGATAAATCCATTAGTGGTTCCTGTTATAACCCTCAAATTTTTGAACCCCTTCGAACTCATAGTATCGGAATAAGTTGCCGTAACTACCTGCATATCAATCAAATCGCAGCAATAAGACTCCAGCCTTGCGGGCAAGGTCACGGGGATGGTTCAAGAGGCGTCTGCCAATATGATTGCAAGCGTGTTGTCGATCAGTCGTAATTAGTAATCACACGTAAAGCTCCGGCTCAGATACAGGGGACACATAGGGCGACCTATCTCCAAGGGCAAGTGCGCCCATGAAGTTCATCGAAGCTTCTCCGGGCATGGTATCCGTACGCCAGCAAGCCAAAGACCATGCACTGCGGTATCTAGAAGGTCGGAAACAGCAGGCACGGCATCCAATGTTCCCCTGATGGTATTGATCTCTTCAACGTCACTGTTAATATTAGTAACTGTGAATGGTAATGTGTTTTGTTTCCTCAGCAATGTACGACTTACTTTGTTTCCAATTTTTGAGCGATGATATCGCCTCTATAAGTCCATCTACCTAACTCGTCTTGCTGGGATCTTTGGAGGAATGCCGAAATTGCAGGGGTGTTAGTACTAGGTATGGTAAATAACAGCTTGACAATGCCGGTACAAGTCCGATACAGCTGTCCGTACAGGTCCGACATGCAGTCCGATACACAGCATAGTACCCGTGTTGTATCGGAATAAGAGTCAGCTGATAGGCCTCTGATAGCACCTACGGCTGGGCAAGAGTTACTCATGACACAATCTCTCCAAGAAACCAGACAAGTTAACATGAACCGGGATACTGATTCCGCATAATACCGAACCGTATCCAGTGGACCTGGAAAGTGAACGAAGGAGCACTGAGTCCATTCCAGACAGGTCATTGAGCATGTCAGCAACCACAACCAGGCGCAATCGAGCCCTCGCCTCATGTGAACCTTGCCGAGAGAGAAAAACTCGATGCGATCACGGCAAACCAGTCTGTGCCTCCTGTCGGCGTCGTGGCTTCGACTCTCGGTGCTACTACCATCCTGCTCCTCTGACTAAACATCGAAGTGCAGGTGGACAAAGACTGGCCGTGCCTACGCCATCCCAACCAACCATTGCTGCACCATCATGGAGCAGGTCCAGTGCAAAATATCCCGGACACTCTGCGGCTGGGCTACCCAAATTTCACACATGGCCTTTTATGTCGACCGTCTCTGACAGTGGGACCCTGCCAGACTCTCCCTTGCTGGGCTCGCATGACAGCAAGGCCTATGAGGCCCACCTAGCCACCATGAAAGAGATTGTGTCTCAGTTGAGATACTTTCCTGTCATTGAAAGGTGCATCCGTCAGTACTACTCTGCTAAGCATAACTCACTTGTACCGAAACCAGTCGTTCTGCACCTTCTCAGAGCGCTCCGTAAAGATCTAGTATCGTCGGGCTATATCTTTGGAGAAACGGGAGATCGAGTTGAGTTGGGCGATATTTCGCGGTTATCAGAGTCTGTGCTGCTCTCTTCCTCTACAGAGGTTATTATCACCGCATCCTTGGACCTGCATGGCTTCTTAGCCTTGTTCTGTGGCCCGAATCTTCGAGTCGAGACTCTCGGTCTTTTGTATACTATGGCTGCCCGTGCGTCGGCTTTTTTCGTTGACAGCGACGAGGGTAAGGATGCCGCATTTGTCCCAGGCATGGTTTGGTATAGCACGGTGATCTTACGACTAGCTCGGGACCTTGCACCCCAGTCAAACGATGTCATCATATGGTTGGCGAATGAAAATGGGCATCTCAGGTCATTCCTTGAAGGAGATACGAGTGAGCCACTTTATACATATCGCGAGTGGGTGGATACTAATTTATTTCAGGCCTCGGTGTGTGGCGTCTGGTGGGCGATCTCTCGACCGATTTATTGGCTCTGGGGTTGAATAGGGAAGCGACATATTCCCTTGAGAGAATCCCGTTTTTTCTTGCAGAGTGCCGGAGGAGGTGCTTTGTGACTGAATATTACCTGGAGAAAATGTTTGGCCTGATATTCAATCTACCCCCTCGCATTACCTGTCGATATGTGGACGTCAAGCTCCCCCTTGATTTGTCGGATGACGAACTTTTTGCTCAAACTACCCAGGAACTAGATGATGCAAAAAGTCGACTCACAGAAGATGGCTGGAACACAGATGGGAACCTTAGAGCAGCAACCTGGGCTCGATTGCGTTATATTCTGAGTCAGTTTCGGGAAGGAATTGTGGAATATCGTTTTCAAGCATCCTATGCAGCTGACCCTGCCCACCTCAGGTGTGTACAATCATTCGGACAGACATTGAACAGCACTAATGGTATTTCAGAGAATTGTCTTCTCGATGTCGTCAGACGTGGGATAACCTGCTTCCCCACCTAAGGTATACTCAGGACTGTTGGGAATCGGACATGCCCCTGAGCACTTGTTACATGCACGCGAAGGTTCATTTAGCATATCTCCAGATCCATTTCCAGATATACCATCTTCTTGGGGAGAATAGCTCAACTCCGCTTCCTGATCTGCTGGACGTGTCTGCAAACATTCTGGAGACGGTGGTTCAGATGGGAAATACCCGCAGAAAAGGCGCCTTTACCTCGCATGACGTACCTGAAATCGTACGTGCTGCTCTATTCATTTACCGATCATCTTCTTTGCTATAGCTGACAGGGTAAAGCTTCTGGCCTGCGGCTTGCCGTCTGCAGCAGTTCTCCTAACTACACTAGAGAACAATACACAAGATCCTTCAAGTACCCTTCCGCCCAGCATGAAGACTTCAGCCGTGATTCGCAATGTTTCCGTCCTTACTTCGCAACTCGAAAGGGTGGCTAGTTCGCGGGAAAGAAATCAAGCCTTCTGCTTGCAGGCGGCAAAGGCCATCACCAAGAGATTGGACAAGATATTGGACAAGCTTGCGACGTCAACATTTCAAGCTCGGACAATTCCTGATGTTGCGACAAGAGTTGACGTAGTGGACTCAATGCCGACCCCGACCACTGATCTTGACGCTTCCCTCACTGGTGGAGAGAATGCTGGAGATGGGGACAGAGAGATTGGTGCTTTTAATCTGGATGACTACGAGAATTTCGATCTAATGTCTTGGGCAATCAATTTCGACCTTGGAAACACGGCCAGCGACTGGACAATGATGTAAAACTCAAAATTATTGCCGAGTTTCACAACGTCCAGGCTATCCGTAACCGTCATTCAGAATAGTCTATAGTGTTAGTATTCATCTGATAGTCGTGATTTGGTAGCCCAGGTGCATTACTGGGCGCAAATGAATGAAGTACATATTCTGCCGGATATATCCAGGCACGTGCCGTATGGCGAGATCTCGCATCAGGGGGGGGGGGGGGGGGGGGTTCGAGCCGCTCGTTTCAGCTTTCATAAAAAGCAAGACGGTGAATGTAATTCCTCTCGTTGAGACAAAGGGTTCGGCAATAAAGATTTTCGCTCTTAACCGCACAATTTACAACTATAAACTTGCTTTTGCGGATGTAAAGGATTAATTGAACTACTTGGTTATGCTAGAAAGCCGGAAGACAACACCCACCCACACCGCCCTGCTTTCTATCCAGGCTGTTAGTGAGATATTATCCTCTATCCTCTTAATCATATTATCGAAACTCGGTCCAAACTCTGAAGGTTCATCGTGTTAGGTATGTAGCGGACGAACCTTACAACAACCTCATAGTTTATTCTTCGGGTGTCAAACATCGCTACCAAGACAGGCAGCTGGATCACCAATTCCCAGCTTTCTTGGGGGTCCTGCGTGCTATCCAGGCTTGAATAATATAACCATGATAAGAATTCAATCACCTATTCCGAGGATCTATGATTTTACGCAAGCACAACACCCGAGCTGTAGATAGAGCTATGCGAGCCAGTGCGGTTGTGCCATCTGTAACACAGACTATATGGAAACATTCGTGTGATGTCGTAAATGACGTCCATATCAGCGAGTATCCCAGAATGAATCATGACCAGATAATCCCTGCTGCCGCACCAGAGTGGCTGGCCTGGATGGACGCGCGATTTTCACGACAGCGGACCACTGGAAACTGCCCTATTGAGCAGAAAGGGCCATTCGATCTGAACCATATAGAGTTAGCACCAGGAAGTTGAAGTAGGGAGTACATATGTATCCACTACCGTCTCAGGTTCAGACCTTGTGACTTAATTCTTCTTTCCCGGCTTTCTGAATCACTTGGGGTAGTGTCACATAGCATGCCAGGGTTCCAGGCGTTCTAAGATTGCCGAAGGGCGAATAGGATGGAAATACTGGGATGTGCGTATTTGAGTGGACGATGATGGGTGTACCGTCGAGGGAGCCAAGTAATACATGTGCGTTTGGGAATTGACTAAACATTGACTGCCTAGTGTCTGCTTTCATGATGATGGTAGGTGGCTTTTTATACAATGACTTACCTCAATATTAGTGGTATATAAGTATTGTTGAAGATAAAAAAAAGTGATAAAATGTGTAATAACAAAGTATACTTCACTTTTAACACCACATCTGTATGATAGAACGAGCTAAACTGATAGGAGGATTGTTCCCTTAGATTCATTGACCTTGTATGTTTTCAGACTTCCGTTCCAATTCTGGGAGAATATACGAGATAAATCGATGAATGCATCCTTACTTGTAGAAATGCTTTGCTAATTTTGCCAGCTTCTCCATAGAGTCTATGTGATATTTGTTAGCAGACTGCTGTATTCACCCCACGTACATAGTCCACACCAGTTGCTGAAACTGTGCTCCAGAGGATAGAATCAGCGCTGCCATCGATATGCTTCCTGTTCAAACAGGCACACCTTACGATAAGGCAAGAGTATGAACACTATCATGAGTTTCAAAGTAGCTGACAGGAAACAGTCGTGGCTGGAAACTTTTATCCGTGCTGATGGGATACAAGGGATAGACATGCGAATTTTGCGACGTTTATTTTTCAGTTTAGTCAATATGGAAGATTAGCTATGTATGAATCGCATCAGTATGACTTGATCACTGTTTCAGATGGAGGATCAGTGTGATTGCTGACTAGCTGAATTACGTTAGAATAGAAAGTCATGGAACCGCATAGCATTATACCCATCTATGCAAGCTGTAATATGCATAGAAACGAGACAAAGACATCAGACCAAACAAGACCTGCATGTCAAAAGGAGAGCTGCAAACAGCAATGCCGTCTATGACTCAACGATATTTTGCACCTCGCATACTTGAGTCGCAAACTTGGAGATGGTTAGGCTCGGCGCCAGCAACTGCTGGAAGGGCATGTCCATAGCAAATTCCTTAAAGATCCAATTGCGTAACTCGGCGCCAACCATGGAATCAATTCCATAGGAAGCGACTGAGCCAACCTCAGCATCCACATCTGCAGGGTCCAGCATCAGCATGCGCGAGAGCTTGTCGATGAAATGCTGACAGATGAGTGCGACCGCCTCAGCCGATGACTCTGCTGCCCGGATGCTGGGCAGGATGCTCAGATGTGCACCCGCTCTGGCTTCATCGGATGAGATGTTGATGGAGTGCACGGCGTGGCTGAAGCGCGCGTCATCAAGCCAGAAGCTGTCGGTGCTGGCGCTGTCATTAACAGCCTTTTGCAGCTTGGCAGGATCCAGCCCGACCACCACATGGTCTGGAGCGGGTTCAAGGTAAGTGTTGGAGGTAATAGCTGCTTCAAAGGACTGTAGCAGATGCTTCTCGTCAATACCGTACATTCCCTTGCGCTTCAGAGCGTCCTCGAGGGTGTCGTTCTCTGCCACGACGCCAACACCCAGCACCATCGGCAGGACAACGGAGGTGGCAGCCTGATTACTGACCCGTCTATGACGGGCGAGTGAGTCCAGGTAGGTGTTGGCCGCCGCGTAGTTGCTCTGACCCGGGGTGCCCAGAATTCCCGAGACGGAGCTGGTCATAAGGAAGAAGTCTAGAGGCTCATCGGCCAGGGCAGCATGCAGGTTCTGCGCTCCAAGCACCTTGGGCTGGGTGGACTGTTTCCAATCCTTGTAGGTCATGGAGTGAAAGAGTCCGTCCTGCAAAGCCACAGTCAGTGTATAAAATCTTAATTACCCACGTGATAGTCATGAACTTACCCTCAGCACCATTGCCGCGTGGATAACACCCCGAATCGGGTGCTCCAACGGCACACCACTGACCGCGCGAGAGACATCTTCTCTTGATGTCGCATCGCCGCGCACAACTTGAACAACTGCACCAGCGCCCTCGAGCTGTCGAACCAGCTCTGCAGCTGATTCTGCGTCTGCTCCTGAGCGGGAGAGAAAAGTGAAACGACGGGCACCACACTCCATCATCCATGATGTCAAGCTCCGTCCAAGACCGCCCAGGCAGCCGACCAGAAGGTACGTGACATCTGGACGCAATCGAAGCTTGCCATCTCGAGTGGGAAGGACCTGGATCGGACTGTCCGATGTCTGGTACTGAACCACAGGTTTAGCGGCCCCGAACGCGTCTGAGAATTCTGTCACTGCCCGGTCAATCTCGCCCAGATGGATGGCCTTGATTGGAAGTAAGCTAGGGTCGGTACTGTTGACCTCGCAGACAATGGCCGGCAGCAGCTCAGACACAACTCCTGGCCGGGACAGGTAGAGGTCCAGGACGTCGAAGGGGATGTAGCTGGCACTGCGATGGACAGGCAGGGAATTCAGAGCTTTGGCGCCGGAAGTGCCCTTGCGGCCGCTGTCGAGAAAACGGCCAAAGGGCGCGATGCAGCGCCATGCCTCATGCGCCGCCGTTGAATCAACGCTTGAGGCATCGCTGAACACCACGTCAGCTCCGTGGCCGCCTGTGAGCTCCTCCAGGCGCTCGGAAACTGGCCCGTCTGAAGACCGGATGATATGACGAGTGTCTAGGCCCAGATGGGCCTGCAGAAAAGCAACTTCCTCGTCACTGTCTGCGATAACATAAACATTCGCCCCTTGGCGCTGTGCGAGTTTGATTGCGGCAACGCCCGCGGACCCTGTCTTGTTCAAAACCAGCACATTCTCTCCGTTTCTCACGCCGGCCAGAGTCTGCAGCCCATAGAGAGCAGCAGCATAAGCTGACAGGCCGCTGACCGTGCTTGTCATGTCCTCCTCCGCCTTGAGTCGGTGCAGCATCATGGCCGGGACCTGCTGGTAGCTGTCGAAATGGGCCGCTTGGAATCCGACCACTCTGTCGCCAAGTGCGAAGCCAGACACCCCAGGGCCAACTCGCGTCACAACACCACCGATTTCCTGGCTGAAGGTGGTGGCGTAGTCAGCCCCGGTGATGACCAGTACGCCTTCTTTGGTGAGACCACTGCTTTGCACCTGCACTTCGACGTGACCAGGCTCAACATCAGATTCTTCCTCCTGCTGCTGTTGCTGGAATACAACTTTAGCCTTGGAAACCAAACCAGACACTCGCTCTCCAGACGTGAAACTCATTGGGTTAGGCTTATCCTGCGCCGTGTATAGCTCGTTGAGGTTGGTATTCCGTACCAGTCGACTGATGTACGTCTTGTCGACAGAAACACAGACCTCGCGCTCAGGCGACTCCGCGGTCTGGGTCTGCATTTGCAAAACTCTCAGGACGGATTGAGCGGCGGACTCGGCATCAAAACTGGCGGGATCGACGTCCAGAACGCGGAAGTCCAGCGACGCCTGTTCCGCCGTGATGGCGCGGGCAAGACCAGAGACCATGGCGTACTCCGGCTGCTTGCCTTGTAGAAAGCCACCGGGCGCGACCCAGAGTAAGGACGAGGTGCGAGCCACGATGTTCTGGATAGCGCCAAACTCGTCTTCCTGGAGAGTGAAAAGCAGCGGACCCTCGAAATCGGCTAGCATGATGATGTGTCCTTCTACGTTGGAGGTAGAAGCCAAGAGGCGGGTAACCCTCACGTCCCATCCCACGGCCTCCAGTGCAGCCGTGACCGCGGCGACGATGCTAGTCGGATAGTCACGGTAGACTAGCTGAACCGGAGCGGTAGGTAGCGATTTTGTCTCTGGAGTTTTGCCAGCAACAGTCAAGTCGGATCTCATTACCGATGCACCTGGTGTGATTATGTCGCTCAGGAGACTCTGGCCCTGGGTTTCTGCAATAACAATATCGAATGATTCCTTCTTCAGGCCCTGGGCCTCGAGTTCCTGCGCGAGGTCGACGTGGATAGCCTTAGCATTGCGGTATCGGGCAACAACGTGCGTAGCCGCCTCCAGCTCTTCCTCGGAGGTCACGATGACTGTGTAGAGCGCCTCCGGGTTTGCTCCGAGGATCTCTGCCGTATAGGCCATACCCAGCTCGGCCACCCTATAGGCAGGATACTTGAACAGAGCCAAATTGGTCAGCTCCGACGTCGTGAGTCCCTCTCTGTTCTTGGGCTCATCGATGTCCAACTCCCACGCCATCTGACCGTACGGCGCCTCGTGCAGCGCGCTCTCCAGCCGCTGGGGAACCGCCGCCTCATAGGATGTTGCGCGCATGTTCACGATCTCCATCAACATCTCGCCGTTCTGCGCAGAGGTCAGTTGGACTGTACTCTCCGATGTACGAAGTCCACGGCGGTGCACGTTGGCGTACGCAATTGCCTTGCTCTCCGCGAGTTGTTCAGCTGTAGGGGGCCAGATGGCGATTTCGTCGACCTGCACGGGCACTACACCGCAGGCCATAGCTTCGGTTCGACCAGCGTAAATTGCAGCTATTCCAGCAAGTTAGTTCCAACTCCTGAGTAAAGATAATAAGAAGAGCGCCTTCAGGTTTCTTACCTATGCAAAGCTGCAGAGTCGAGTCAATCGACGCCGGGTGCAGCACGTAGCGCGACTCGCCTAGGTTCTGGTCGACAACCTGCTTGATGTTGGTTGTGCAGGACGCATGATACTGTTTTCCGTCGAAGCGCACAATGTCCATGTCCTGAAAGGTAGGGCCGTAATCGAAACCAACTTCGCGTAGGGCCTGATTCCACGCCTTGCCGCTTGCTCTCTGTGGAAACCGTGGCACGGAGCGCGGTTTCTTTCCCCGGGGGCGGGTGTTGATGCCGATGGTGCCCTGCATGTGGTTTTTATTGATGCCAGTGCTATCCACCGACGAGACCCGCCAGTCCCACTGCTTGCCCCCGTACACGGACGGACGCATGTTGAAGAGAACCTCGATCCCGTCGTCATCGTCTGGTGTCACCAGCGCTGTCTTGATGGACACATCGCGCAGCACATAACTCTCGATTTCAACAGGGTCATCGCTGAGCTCGTTGATCTGCCAGATCGCCTCAATAGCCATGGCAAAATATCCCGCAGCGGGGAAGACGGACTCGCCGCCCAAATGGTGATCTTTCAGCCAGGGCAGGTCACGGGCCCGCAGGACATTGCGCCAGGTGGGCTCCGCCGGGGAGGCGCCGAGGACTCGCTGGCCCAGCACGTCGTGCCGCGGGAATCGGGGCTGGCGCTGTTCGCGACTACTGCGGCTCTCCGCCCACAAGGGACGTGTGTAGTTCCACTGGTAGGGGGGAAGATCCACGATGGTCGAACCCTTGGTCCGGCTGGGTCTTCCTGTGCTATCAATGTAGGCACTAGTGACCTTCTCCATGTCCAACGCCTTGTAGCTCCGCAGAAATAGCTCCCCTGCCACCTTCAACAGGCGAACTGAACAATCTTCGCCCCGGACTAGCGTGGGGATGTATTCGATCTTGTCTGCCTGGCTCTTCAGTGACTCTCGGATTTGTTTGACGGGACCGGCCAGGGCCGAGTGTGGGCCGATTTCAATGAGAAGGTCGACCTCTGAAAAAGTCTCGTCAGTGAGAACTGTCTGCACAGCTTGATTGAATAGCACGGGACTGCGCAGATTCCGGCTCCAGTAGTCCGCATCAAGGAGAGTCCCCTCAGGCAGAACGGTGTTGGTCACCGAGGAAACCATCCGAGCAGACGTGGCCAGCGGAACGACGCGTCTCCTGCGATGTTGCTTGGCCTCATGCATGAGGGCCCGGTATTTCTCCGCCGCCGGCGACATGTGGTGTGAATGGTATGCCTTGCCGTTTGTCTTCAACGCGCGGTTGAAGACTCCGGCCGCATTGAGTGGGGATTGAAGAGTTTCTAGCGCGTCTTTGTCGCCGGACAGCGTGACCAGTGACGGGGAATTGTCACAGGCGACAACGATCCGGTCCTCCAGGCCGGCGAGATACGGCCTGACCATCTCAGCGGACAAACCCACCGCTAGCATCGCACCGTTGGTGTCGACATCCTTAGCTACTCTTCCACGGTAGTAAGCCGCCACAATTGCATCCTGTGCCGAGATCAGGCCTGCCGCGTATGCGGCCGCCATCTCCCCCGATGAATGACCAACAGTTGCGACCGGTCGGACATTCCAGGATTGCAGCAGCTGCACGATGGCGATCTGGACAGCGGTGCACAAGGGCTGCGAAAACTCGGCGTCGTTGACGGGAGAGGCGTCCGCATGCACAAGCAGAACGTCTTCAATCGACCACTCAGGGCCATCCTGCAGCTCGCCGAGCACTTGATCCAGCGCCCGGATGGACTGCAGGAATGCCGGGCAATAGTGCATAAGCTCTACACCCATCCGGGCCCACTGCGCTCCCTGTCCCGTGAAGACAAAGGCGACGGAACGGATGCTTTTCTTATCTGCAAAGGCAAAGTGCTCCCCGACTGCATCGAATACCGTGCTCAGGGTCCCGTAGCTGGCAACTGCAAATGCCTTACTCGCGAGCACACTGCGTCGGGTTGCTAGCGTGTACGACAGATCGAGCAGACTATAGTTAGCTGCGACCTTTCCATGGGCCTCAATATTGCGACGCAATGTGATTTTATCGTGGGCTGAAAAGGGGAGCAAGTAAGCTCGATTGCGTTCCCACGCTCGTCTGGAGCCGGGAAATCGCACCCTGGGCTTTTGTGTCCAGGGATCGTCATAAGTGTAGGCAGCTGTGCCATTGCGCGCAAAGGACTCCGTGCCCTCCACAATAACATGAGCATTCGTACCACCGTATCCTAGAACTGTTGATGGAGACACGACACACAGGGAGCTCGCGGGGGAAAGGAACCGCCTCCGTCGGGACCTGCACCTGCCACTCATCCCACTTGATAGCCTTGCTAGGGTTCACCACCCCACGGGTGGCGGGGATCATGCCCCGCTCGGTGATCAGGATGGCTTTTATTAGGGCGGAGATGCCGCTGGCCGCCTCAGAGTGTCCGATGTTGGTCTTGACGGCACCGATCCAGAGGGGATGGTCGACATCTCGACGCCGCTTCTTGTTCATCGCCATAGACACGGCGTGCACCTCCAGCGGATCCCCCACCGCAGTACCGGTTCCGTGGCACTCAAAGTACCCTGTGAGCCGGGGGTCAAGGTCTCCGCCACGTTCGTAAGCCGCTGCAATTACCTGGGCCTGGCCTTCGCGGTTGGGATGGGTGATGCCAGCGCCAGCGACTTTGCCATTGGAGTTGGTGGCGCTAGATCGGATCACGCCACGGATGGGATCGCCATCGCGAATGGCGTCGGACAGACGTTTCAAGTATACGGCACCCACCGCATCGGCACGGCCATACCCATCTGCACTTTCATCAAAGGTGTGGCAGACCGACGTGGGCGACAAAACACCGAGCTTGGCCGTGTTCATGTGCTGGTCAACGGTGATGATCAGGTTGACACCGCCGACGATAGCACCCTCGGCTTCGCCATTGCGCAGGGCGTTGCAGGCATTGTGCAACGCATACACCGATGAAGAGCACGCCGTATTGCATAAAATGCTGGGCCCGTTCAGATTGAAGACGTGGCTGATCCGGTTGCTGATGATCCCTGGATCCACGCCAGTTGCGGCCAGACTGTGTCGGAAGGAGTGCTCCTTGAAGGCCATCTGCTGCCAATCAGCTGTGAAGCTGGCGGCAAACACGGCCGTGCGGGTGCCGGAGATCTTCTCGAGTGAAATGCCCCCAGACTCTAGGGCCTCGTAGACGACCTCAAGCAGTTTCCGTTGTTGCGGGTCCATCCACATGGCTTCCACAGGGGTGATGCCGAACAGGCCAGGATCGAAATCTGCTAGGTCATCTTTCAGGAAATACCCGCCCAGGACGCCAAAGCTCCCGGGACGGTCATTGTTTTGGTGAATATGGGCATCGATGTTGAATCGCGAGGCAGGCACTTTGGGTGTGCTGCCGGTCCCTTTCTTCATCATGAGATCCCAAAAGTCAGAGACGGATTTAACGTCGCCAGGCAGGCGGCAACCTATGTGTTTGGATTAGTTTTCATCTTCGAGACCCATGATGTGCAAGATGGCGTACCCATGCCAACAACAGCGATTGGTTCCAACTGGTCTTCAAGCGGCTTCTCTGCATAGTCGGGGAATGATTGTGCTGGGTATCCATCATCAGACCCAACGGACGAGTTGCTGCTCGAGGGCATAGTTCCACGGGGGTCCCCGTCTAACGTCGATGTAGACGACGTGCTGGAGCTCCTGATCACGGCAAGCATCTTTGATATTGGTACTGGGACAAGGATATTGGTCACTTCAAAAAAGTCCCAAGGTGTCTATGTGCACTGTGACCGTTTTTATTATCTATATATGAAATGATTGATTTCTCAGGGAACGGTTCAATATTTGAGCTGCTAGGGGAGAAGCGTTCAATTAATGCTTATCTCAACAGAGCATCCCACGCAATCTGACCCTTCCTACCACGCGGAAACGGTCTTCTAGGCCTCTAGTTCGCTACCGGAGAACCATAGCAGCAGGCAGTGCGATGTCCCCTGCTCACGCCGAGACCGCAATTCCTTTGACTCGAGGTAAGACGGACATCCGACTAGCGGCAAATTCGGGGAATTGCGCACCGAACTTTGTCCAGAAGAGTTCGAGGGAGTCCGTTGGTTAGCTGGGCACTTGATTATCAAGATACCGTTGCATCTACGGACAAGGCTGATTCTCACGGGCCTTCCCAGGCCCATTTTACCAGTGATCACTGCTGTTCTTTGCTTACTGTCATCACCGAAGGCGCGACCCAGAGTAAGCAGCCTCTCGCTACTCGTTATCTGCAAAAAACGGACCCCTGCGGGCCGCGGAGGCATTAACGAAGCTGAGTCAATGGGAAACGATCGCGCTATCGGCATCCGACCACCCATCTTCCGGTGATTTTACATGTAAAACACAATTCTCTGAATAACTGCTGCCTATGAAATTCAAAAAAATGAGATTAGGACTCGACATTCGCCCTATATGGAATTTTGGAGGGAGGTATGGGTATTATTCTCAGCAGGTTGACGGAAACGGGTAGGAATTCTCTAGATTCTCGTTCTCCAAATTATAGACAGACCCTCTGTAATTTCAAGGATTTATAAGAATCAACTCCAAAATATGCGTGTCCTTCTTCCATGGAGACCGCCCTCTTCCGCATCTTAATAACCCACCACACAGGAAAAGGCGTCATGAGTAAGTGAAGAGACACCGGAACTTTTACTGCTGGATTGCATTGGCCTGCTTTTCTAACTCCCTTTCCTTATCGCAAAGTAACCATGCCATTCCAGCGCCAGGGCCCAAAACCGCCGTGACAGCTGTGAATACAAGTCTGGGATTGACAGCCGGCTGGGCTTGAGTCGATGGCTTGGTAGCGGCCGCACTGCCAAGGTTGAATTTGTAGAATCCCACAGCAAGCACAGAGAGATTGATTATAATGTAGTCATACTGGATAAAGAGCATGGCCCCCTCAGCAAGGTAATATTGGCCCTGTTGAACAGCGCTGTGGTTGGGCCAGTAAATCCGACTGAGAGTGACTCCGGGGAAGAAGTAGGGACTCAAGATAACAGCAACATGGCAAATAGCACTAATGCTACCGACAATCCAATAGGTAACTGTGGTAGGGCTTTGCACTCCCCTGTATCCGGTTGCGGTGATGAGGGAACTGACTGCGTCCTGAAAAAGATTCAGAGAAGGTGGCCCGAGCAACCACAGGACCATCCCAGCCTGGATCTGGAATGGGCTGACCCTGAGCACGGTTGGTACAAGCAAGGGAACGGATATCAGCGTGTTCCAGATCGCGGAGAAGGGAAGAGCTTGTGCCTGCGCGGGCGGAATGCGAGGAAGAGGCGTCCGTAATCGTTTCTCCACGTACAGGTGCAAGTAGACTGGCAGCGCGCACGCAGCGCCGAAAAAGTTCCACATCGTTTGCCACCAAGCAGGACTGGAGGCACCCATCGTCAGTTCTACCATGACTTTGGAAATGTATGATAGGACTCTGTTTCCTTACGATCGTAGTGGACTTGTCTTCCGGTTTCGTCGGCCTTCTACCACCGTCATCATGTTGAAGACCCCGATGGCGAGCACCAAATCGACTGATATGAGAAAAGGCCCAATGTCTGGCAAGTCGTGAATGCTGACAACCGAGTTGAAGAAGACGATAAGCAGGCTGAGGAAAAAGTCGATGGCCTGGATGCCGGTCCAGCTCTTCTGGAGCGCTGTGCCCGTTGGAAATATGCCTCGCAGGTTTGTCGAGACCATCTCAGCAAACGTGCCGTTCAGCATCATAAGGATCCAAAGCGTAATGATCCCGAGACCGCTGAAGGTACGGAAGATGTAGTAAGGATCTGACAGTGCCATGGTAGAGAGCTGTCACCAGTAAACGAGTCAATCAACGGACAAAATTTGAGTACCTGTGTGCGATTTGGGTAGCACCAAGGCCGCTGTGTACAAATATTAAATGATTATTTCACGCAGAGCAGCCTCGAATGTGCGCCTATAGATGGTGACCTGGTGACCCCCAAGTGAGTGCGGGAATGGGCGGGCCGCTATGTCCGAGATCATCGGATAAGCTGGTGAGAATGCGTCGGCCCACGTTCGGCCATACACGAATTTCAGTGAATCGAACAAGGCTAAAGAGAGCCGATGAGCACGAGGACTGCATAGTCATTAATTGAAGTTTTCTCTGCTTTCCCAGAGACTGTGTGACATAAGATCATCGTCAACATCAATCATGGGCTCATCGATGAATCCCGAGCGCGTGGAGGTTGTTATTGTCGGCGCTGGTATGCAGGACTGTTTGGGTTTCAATCCTTCTACTAATCTTGTGTACAGGCTGGAATGGTTTGATATCTGCAAAGACATATTTAGATTTCCGACCATCCGCCGACCTCGTTATCCTGGATGAGCAGGAGTCGATTGGAGGTGTCTGGAGCGCCGACAAAATCTATCCAAGCCTCTACGCGCAGATTAAATACGGCCTGTTTGAATACTCTTTCTATCCGATGCGCAATGAAGGTATCACGGAGGATGGCTACATCTCGGGCGATACCATCCACACCTACCTGAACGACTTTGCCTGGGACTTTGATCTGGTTCGACGGACTCGTCTGCGGACGAGAGTGACGAATGTCTTTCAATTGCCCAGCGGAAAGTGGCGTCTCGAGATTGCCGGCAAGCCTGACATTGAGTGTAAGAAACTCATCTACGCATCTGGGGCAACGTCCCATCCGGTCATCCCTGTCTGGCCTAAGGCAGCCAGCTTCAGTGCACCGATCATCCACTCGTGCGAGACGGGGAGGCATCTCGATCTACTGCGCCAGATTCAGTCGGCAACCGTCGTGGGTGGTGCCAAGTCGTCGTACGACACTGCCTTTCTGCTGCTGAAAGCGGGAAAGAAGGTCAACTGGGTCGTCCGAGACGACGGGTGTGGTCCTCTGGCCATCATGCCTCCCACGCTGTTCGGAATGGTCAACACCATGGATGTGGTGACCACGAGAGCAGTGATGCTTATGGGTCTCTCCGTTATGAGCACCGACGGGGCTGTTCACCAATTTTTCCAGAGGACGATCATCGGACGGTTCATCCTCTGGCTCTTCTGGCTCGTTGTGAACTGGTTGGCTGACAGGCACGCTGGTTACTCCAAGTCGGAGAATGCCAAAAAGCTAAGGCCATTGCCTCATGGAAACGGGTAAACCCAGACCTCCTGTCAGTGATTCTGAGCATCTAACAACCTGCTGTTCGTAGGATCTTCTGGGCAAATGCTGGTCTCGGAGCAGCCAGTGTCCCGCTCTTCTGGAAGACATTCCACGCGGGCGATTGCACCGTCCACCGAACCGAGATTGACTCATTCGGCGAGGACAACACGGTCCGTCTGAAGGACGGGACTTCATTTCAAACAAACTACGTGATTCTGTCGACAGGGTTCGACAAATCTTTTCACGTTTTCAGTCAGGAGCTGCAGCATAAATACGGCCTCATGCCACATGCAGACCCGAGCTGTTCGGAAGAAAGAAAGTGGGCGAGACTCCAGGCCGAGGCCGAACAGGCAGTCGATGAACTGCTTCCCGGGCTCCAGAATCCCCCTAGTAAACTTGGCGAGGGGGTCAATCGCGAGAAGACGACCGGTGGGAAGCACATTCTGCACGGGCCTAGCCGACATTATCGACGCATGGTTGTCCCTTCGCTCGTAGCCGCAGGAGACCGATCCATTTACTTTCCAGGATTCATCCACTCCATTCTTACTCCCACTGTATCCGAGGTGCAGGCACTGTGGGGGGTGGCGTTCCTTCTCGGGTTGCACGATCCGCCGTCGCTGCACGAAATGGAGCGAGAGGTCGCCGAGTGGAATGTCTGGACGCGGAAACGATACGTTGGACAGGGTAGAAAACATGCTTACGCGATCTTTGACTTTCTTCCAGTCAGCATCTCTTGCCAATTTTCCGTCATGTGAGCTAATTGTCCCTAGTATATCGATGTTCTTCTTAAAGATCTCGGCGTGAACCCTCGGCGCAAGAAGAGCTTGCTCGCCCACTTGTTCATGCCATCGTACCCATGCGACTACAAGGGCATCATTGACGAGTTCCGTCAAACCTTGGCCGCGAGACAAGCGTCCAAGTCGAAACATGCCGTATAATGCTGCCCGCGGCGCTGGAAATGGTAAGACTAGTGCTTCTATCAACGCCTACAGCATCGGGCTGTCCCTTAACGGCAACCAGCCGGGCTTTCGCGGACTGACCGAGCCCTGAGCTCTGCCCGGGGGGGTTGTGCAACAATTGAGCAGTATTTCGGTAGTATTAGACGGATATCATGGCAATGACTAGACGTCTATGGAAGCGGAAAGGGTCAGTAGATTGTGAAGAATAAGAGAAGACTTTTATGCTTGTTTTATTGCTGATGTCATTCGAGTGGTTCAAAGGTATTTATATGTTACCATCACATTCGACGTAGGAATTACCATCCATACATATTAGTATCTATAAAAATTTATATATATCATGTTCACATCCTATGTCAAGAGACCGTTACCACTGCAAATACGCCATGCGTCGATCAATGGCCTCTCAACTATAATATGAACTGAGAAAAGCCCAACAAGCTCTGCTGATGTCCTTCAGTCCGACAAAGTCGCCCATCTGTATTCTCAAACCAAGCGTCACTGCCCACTCCGGTCTTGGCGTACAGCAGAGACTCCGGATCGTACTTGTTTTTGATTTGAAGCAATCTGCCATAGTTGCTTCCGTACATCTCCTCCTGCCAGTTGTGCTGCTTGTAGTTGGCCTCGTTCAGGTAGACTGCTCCGCCGGGCGTGGCCCGATCCAGCATGGGCTGCATGACATTAACCGCGAATTCTTGCCGCCTGGCCATTTCAGCCGGACTAGCGGTAGGATCCCAGTGCCCCGAAGTGACGCAGAAAAGGAGGGCGTCACGCCAGGCAGGGTGCACTGCGTTGTCAGGATGCGACTGCCACTTGACATTGAGGGACTCGCAGGGCATCGGGGAGTATCCGTCCACCAAGGAGGCGTTGCGCAGAAGTTCCGTGATGACCCTGTTCTTTGCCTGGTCGGTGACCATCTCCCGTGGGATGATGCGGCTTCCAGAGAATGTTGCAAAATCAATCAGGCCTTCTGGTGAGCTACCCAGGTGGACAGAGAAATGCTCCTGGAAGTTGCGAGACACACGGGGGGAATACTGGTACTCGATTCCGCGATCCGCCAGATCGTCCAGAAAGGGCTTCATGAGGGAATTGGCCAAGCTTAGATCCGCACCAGGCATCGTGGCTGCAAAGCAGTAGAAAGCATGGTTCGTCAGGGTGTAGAGAAAGGAGTTACCAGCGTCCACAAAGGGAGGCAGAAGCTCGTGAAATCTCCCAATTGCGTCCCAGAATTTGTCGTTTCCCACCTTGCTATCATCGAACGCCAATGTAGCCCCGCCAATAATGCTGTCTACGTGTAACCTGGCTGTCATCGAAAGCACAACGGCAAAGGCGCCCGGACCACTACCACTGAGGGCCCAGTACAGGTCTGAATTCTGCTCCGGGGTCGCGACCAGATGTCTTCCATCCATGGTGACTACTTCCCACTCCAGCACGTTATCTGAGCCCATTCCGTGGCTGTTGGAAAGGATCGAGTGGCCTCCCCCTAGGCTGAACCCGCCTGCAATCCCCACCGTCGGACAGACGCCGCCAACGATGCGGTGTCCCGTCGCATTAGCCGCAGCATATGCCTCAAACCCCTGAACGCCGGCCCCGAGCTTGATAGCTGGCCCGTTGTAGTAGGACGACTTGTACTTGGGGATATACTGGGTGGAGTTCAGGTTATGTGTCCACAGGGACAGTCCACCTTTTCCAGTCGACTTGCCCGCGTAATCATGGCCCGTATTTTTGATGACCAGCCGGATGTTGTGCTTCTTCGCAAAGTCGATTCCTGCCCTGACGTCCTCGGTAGATCTCACATCAATCACGTAGCTGACGGAATTGCCCAGCTCACAAGGCTGAGACCTAGGAGTGAATGGGTCGCAGGTGTAATTTTTGAAGTACATGTTCAAGACCTCGGAGGGACTGTCAATACTGCGACGATGTCAGCAAAGCTATAGATGGGCTCGAAATGAATACGCACTGCGACAACTTGGTCTTATTCCAGATGTCTTGGAGTTCCGCACATAAGTCAGCATCGTAGTTATTGAAAGGGACATCGTGGCAGACGCTGGCAAGAGGGACGGCTGCAATCAAGCGTCCAGCAAGGGTCGCGTTGAGGCTAGCCCATTGATCTGATTGTGGCCAGTCTGCATCACCAGGGAGCACCTTGCAGGTTGATGATGGATTTGTACTGAATAGACTGTGGTTGGCGATCGCCAGTAGTCCTAAAATAAGTTGTTGAGTTGCCATTGGAACTTGTACAAGACGACGGAAGGCACGACCCAAGAGACAAGACCTCATGAGGCAAACACACAGGAACTAGGATATCTATGAGTGTCTAGATTCAATCCACTAGATGTTCTGGCCGATAAAAAAGTCAGGGGTCGGGGCCGTGATTCCAGCTCGTAGATGGCTGACCGCCGATTCCCGCCACTAACATGGGTAGAAACAAGTCTGGTTAACTGCATGTATGGGATTACTAAGGCACTAAATCACTACAGCAGTCGTTATTGCAAATAACATCAAAAATGTGTCATCCATTGCTGTTGTCTTGTCCATACATAGGCAATCACCTGCACAGCATTCGGACAGGGCGGGCCGAAATCCCCGCTCTCCGTCTTCCGTCCTTAGCAGGTCATGCGGCTGTGGCTCAGGCTGTAGAGATACGAGTTGCGTTGGCGGCGGCCTCACGGCTGCCGACGTGCGCGTGGAGCCAATTAATAAACTTGAATATTCTGACTACATGGTTTATCTGTCTACGTATTCTGCAGTATAATGCACCGGCTGTTTTGGTCTGCGACGGGGGCGTAGGTCAGCAGGTTGGTCCTGGAGCAGTGGGCTGGACCTCTCGAGACCATGATCCGTGAAGTCCTTTCATCGTCGCTTGGTAGCACTGATTCACTTGGTGGGGATGTAGCACTGGTTCCAGTCAGCAGCTGGCGGTCTATATCATCCTGGTCGTCCTGCAAGCGGTAAGGTCTTTTGGAGGGTATAAATTGCTCCACACTAACACTGTTATCAACACCGGCACGTCTGCCCCATCGGTCGCATACTGGCCGTTTGGTACCGGCTTCAGGTGGAGGTGTCTGTGGGGTGGCCGGCATTGATGGTGGACCACCCGGGACAAAGTAGATATCGTCCACCTGGACAGCCAGGCGGGGGGGCTCTTCGACGGTCAGGCCGCATACGTGGCCAGTGACAATGTTTCTGCTCTGTGGCATGATGGAGGGGAAGTTATCCCATTGTTTCCCGTCTTTAAAGTAGATCCGGACCTTGAAGGCCGCCTGCGTCTTAACAGAGCTGTCATAGACAGTGGTGCGGAGGTCATAATGCAATAGCGTTTGGCCTTCATTGAGCTGACCACCAGATCGGATCACAGTTCCCATGAGAGTTATGGTTGGGAGAGCTGCCTCTGGGCAGTGCATTGTATACACCTCCGGGTCGGGGTAGTCACCAGGATGACTGAGGTTTGTCAAAGAAGGCACGCTAAGGGGCTGCATATGGGCATGAGAAGGTAGAGACAGGAATGGAAAATCAGTACCCACCAGGATACAGGATGAGCGTTTACAATCAGCTGTCCTGGCTGTCCACATCTTGTCTCATTGAAAATGAGCCCCAGACATGGACGAAAACGTCTCGTTGATTGAGGTGTGATCGTGCAGGGGGCCTAAAGAAATGCACGCACTATTGTAGGGATTTGGGCAGATCTGATAGTCATCTAAGAGCTCTTCAGGTAACAAATGGGGAATATTCAAGGTAATTTTGAGTTGCAGGGCAGTCGGCTGCTCTGGACCGGTTGGCTCATGGTGAGTTCCTCAGGAAAGTCACGCAGGTAGATGATCGCAGGGTTATTCCCCTTGGACATGTCGGCAAAGAGCAGACAGAGATAGCCCTAGATATGCCAAATAAACACGGCAGATCAAGATGGTCTATATCGTAATGAAGACCAAGAGTGTAAGTGCACGGGTATATATATAGAGATGGCCGGGACAGAATGTGGGCGGTGCCTAATGTGAACGTGATCAGAGAGTTTTACGGCTAGTAAATGAGCTGGCAAGGTGCCGGATATGGAGGTGCAGCAAGAAAGATCATTGGTTATGCGTCCGGGATAGCTGCTGTCGATGCAGTGCTGCCATAGCGGGGCGTCCATGGGTAAAAGGTAACCATTAGGAGGTGCAGGAGGGGTAAAGACGGGTAATGTACCGCAATATGCTTCCATCAGGAAAAGAAGGACCACTCATATGGGTAGGAGTAGGTCGCGGTAGACAACGTTGAGCGTTGGGTAGATATCAGCTCCACGCCGGACGCGAGACAGGCTGGTGTAGAGCTGGCCATGTGCGAATACAGGCGTCAGGCCCTGGCAACTGTTGAAAGTGGTGGCGTGCCAGCGGCATTGGGAACTGGCGACGCTGGACGGTCCAATTGGCACGGTGCGGTCGGAATTCGAAGGTGATGCGAGGGAGGCAGAAGATCTGCATCTCCTGACCAGTAATTTGAGAGGTTAGTAGCTGATTATGTTGCAGGAGGCGCACCTGGACGACATTGGTAAGTAAGTTGTCCACCTGCACCCCACATTCTTAACCAGGCCCTTTTCAATGGAGAGGTTGCGCATGATGCTCGCGACGCAGCCGACTTCAAGAGAGAGGTTATGTGGCGGGACGCCAGGCTCAGCCTCTGCACCGGTCGGTAGGTGGAAGCTGGACCCGTCCATTTCCTTAATTGTATCATGACTGTAGTAGGCGGCTTCCTTGTAGCTAGTATGCATATTGGAGGACAGGGCAGGGGCATCCCTGCCTGCGATTGTACTTATATTATGGCCATGGCCACGCTGGCACCCCGCGATACGGCCGACCAGGTTAGAAGGACCGGAGGTCGCTGCAACTGAGCGGCCAGGTGTACCGTCGCAGCGTCGGCGCAACATGGAGATGGTGCGGTAGACAGCATATACCAGCAGCGGGCGGACCCATTGATGGTAGATGCATGATGGGGTTCAACATATATCGTATATACGTGCCGTTCGTCCGTGGCAGCAGCGTGGGCGACGACCGACGAAGACGACGGAGGGCCCGAGAGTCACGTGCAACATGATTGTAAGACAGGCAAAGGGCGAATGAGGGGAGGCGTAGCAAGTCACGTTACTGAAAACTTGCAGACGAATCAGGGGCGGTCACATGGTGCAGGACCTATCTTCTCTTATTATATTCTCTTATCTCTTATCTCTTAATTCTCTTACTCTTATCTCTTATCTCTTATGTGTTCGGCGCAGTGGGCTTAATTTTTCTAAGAAAGCAGTAGCTTCCCGGAACTACTTCCTTAAACCTACTTATATCTTGATCCAATGTTAACTGCAGCACGATCGTGTATTCTGTGGCTTTATATGGTATGATGTTATCATTGGAATCAGACTAATATATCCAAGTTCTTCACTGCGAAATCTGCAATGTAGCGAGGCTATCCAATAAAAAGGGTGCATAGGTGAACACAGGATAAAATGGACCAAAAAGATGAAGGTTCATCGCACAACGGTAAAGATAAAATTATAGAAATCCAATATACGCAGGCCCAATGTTAATAGACCACATGGCCAGTAGCATATCCATTGACATTGAGGTGACCATTAATATAATGATTCCGGGGATCATCATTCCGCCCATCCTCTGCCCATGCCAGAAGCCCAGATGGAAACCCTACACAGGGAAGGAAGTCCAGTTTGGGCGCCGCCGCAAAATATGCTCCAACGTGGTTTGCGAGCATCCTGTCATCGCATAGTGGGAAGACCCAGTTTGCCAGAAGCTTGTGAAGGGGTGTGGCGTAGGTATGCATCTTGGCTGCCATGTGACTGAGCTCCATCAACTCCTTGATGCGTTGGCGCTGCTCCTTCTGATAAGCTACAAATACCATGTTGAGCGCAGTGCCACTTGGTTTGGTACCACTACAGGTGGTCTTCATCACGCGACAAAGGTTATTCATAAATGAGGCAACCCCTTCAATGGCCGAGTTTCCGCCAAGGGCAAGATTGGGATGAACCTGTATATAATGAATAAGCATAGGTAGACTATAAAGTGGCAAAGGACGACGTACCTTATGAACTGCATCCCCTAGAAGGCAAATTCGACCATGATGCCAGTGCTCCATCACGCCCTCTTCAAGTGAGATCACAGAGGCCCGGGTACGTTGTCTCCAGATCTCAGAGAATAGCAATTGGTCAGTGACAGGCTTATCAGCAACGAGTTCCGCCAGTGCATTGGCATCCTCATCGGTGAAGCGCTGTCGTTTTGGCCAGGTGAACGGTGCGTCGAGGAGGAAGACCACGACGACGTAGACAGCATCCGGCTGGGAGGTGGCAAGGAAGGTAAACCTATTGTTATGAGTTATATTAACTTCCCGCTCGCCAAGCTCCGGGATGGGAGGTGTGGTAACTAAAAGCGTCTTCCAGTTGGTATTCAGGGCTAAGGGTTACTCAAAAATGAACAGTTAGTGGAGGCATGTTCTAAAACTCCTATATGGGGTCGGGCTTCTCCTACAGGTCTTTTCTTTGACTTGGATCAAGCCAGGCGAGGTTTTTGTTGCATGATCCCACATGAAGCTCCGAATCAAGCTGTGGACCCCATCGCAACCAAGAACCATATCGCCTGTCTCAACCCTGCCGTCTGCAAGGCAGACCTCCACCCGGTCTGGAAACTGCTTCACATTTTCGATGATCGCTTTGGTACGGACAAATGACTGGTCAGGCAAACCGTCGTACAGAATCTGCAAGAGATTGCGCCTTTCCAAGGGAAAGAAGCCAATGCCATGACTGATAAGTTAGATTGGAGGGGTAATAAAACATGGGGACTGACATACTTCTTCTCAACTAGGGTATACAGTAGATTATCGTGCATCACCCTGCCATCCGGCCCACGGCTCAAGAAACGGTTAACTGGCACCGCGTCACGCTGAATAGCAGGGAGATAGCCAAGTTGATGGAGAACCCGAAGCCCGTGTGGCCACATGGAGATGCCGTTGCCCATTGGCGGCGCAACTTCAGCATGTTTCTCGAGCACAATATGATCAATGCCGAGCCGCTGGAGGCAGTTGGAGGCTACCAGCCCTGCTACACCGGCACCAACAACAACAATTCGGAATGGACGTTCAGCCTGCATCGTTGTATTATATGTTGCTTGATATGCAAGTGAAAAGACAGTCTGTGGCTGTCAATCAATCAAAGGATACTCCACGGAAGTGTTATAATGTTTACGGGAACAAGCTGGCTGGTGAGACATGGGATGATTAATACTAGAGTCAGGTCCGTCCTCCCTGCTTTCTGCCAAGGGACCGGCTTCGGCCGACGAATGCCGCATTTTCTGCTCCTGCGAGATTAAATAATCACGCCTGAAGAACTTTTATTCAATTTTCTTGGCCAGTAGAAGTACAACATACGATCTGGACGTAATGAATGATATTAAATCAGAGCTTCTGTCTGCAGGCTGTACGTGGAAATAGTGGCAATAGCAGATAATCCTAGTCGCTACAGTTATAGGTGAGTCATAAATTCCGTCTTTTGTTCATGTTGCATAAAGAGGCGCTATGTGTTGTTTATTTATAGCCCATGTTTATAATGTAAGCAACCCCTGAACTGACGTGGCTCTCCGTTTTCCCATTTCACCATCTCTAACACGGTTTCAAATCGCTCATCCAGTCAACAATAAATGATCATCAATACATCCATTGAATACAGAATACGTTGATGTACGCAAGGCCCTAAATCTCCATTAAGTGTGAGAGCAGTCTCTTCAGATGCTCTAAATCCCGACCGACTTGCTACAACTCAATCCACACCGCCAACATGAATATCATCACCTTCATGCAAAACCGGCCTCGACTTACGGGTGTGGTCTCATTTGCTGCTGCCGGCACATTAGTCGCCGCATACCTTGGCAAACGACGCCTTGACCGGTCATGCCCGAGAATCTCCATCACGGAGCTCCCAAAGTCAAGTGCTTGTCGCAACCTCGTGGAGAGCGGCGAAGCAGTTCCGAAGTCAGTCTGGGGGATGGAAAAGTCAGCTTTGCTGACCTCGTGGTCTGGTGGGGACAAAACCCGCTGGGTCCCCTCCTTCGCAGCCCTTCAAGCGGATGTTCCCGTATCCCTTCTCGCTGGATACGGGGCATTTCAAAGCAAAAAGAGTAACGCCGAGGAGGATGATGCGCATCGCCTGATGCAGAATTTAGTTGCCGCCTTTCTTGATGCGCGGGCCGCAGGGCCGGAGGCGTGGTATCTGGACAAAGAGGTGCCGCCATTGTCCTTCGCGCCCGGTAGCCTATTATTCGGCGATCAGGCCACCATGGGAGCCTTTATGCTTGGTTCCTGGAGTACAAACCGGAAGACTTCTATCCAGCCTCAATCTCTGAGCTCAGAAGCCACTGAGCCTTGCTCTGGGTTCCCGTCGAACCGGGACGCGATCCAAGACAGTCCTACGGACACAGCCGGAGCTGTTATGTACTGGAAATTCCCCGACGGGCTGGTCCGAATAGTGGACAAGGCAGCATCGTACGGTCTCCCGTGGCGGTTCATGGACGGCGGATTTCAAGAATTTATTGTGGAGAAGGTGTCAGATGAAACGGCGAGGGTGACATACATCAGTGTTGAATGCTCTAATCTGCACCCCGGCGGCCAATCTACAAGGGATTTCAAGATGTTGCCATGGCTGGCTTACGAGGTTCACGTATTATATGCGCAGCACCTCTGGCATAATACTGTGATGCAACTCACTAAGCGCACGAAAACATGAGATGATTTCTAGACGAGCATTATGATAGAGAGTAGTAATAAAGATACCACCCCGCTCATCCTCCTTACTGCTTCATGCCCTATACCGGTACCTATGTCAGTAGAAAGCCAGTAGCTCACTGCCGCGGTGACCATACTCTCTTCAATTCTCATCAGATACAGCAAGTGACTTGGTAGTGATGTCAGCTTACCACTGCGGCTGATCTACGGTGAACAGCGGACCGCTTTGTCCGCACTCGGCCGCTTGAAGACAATTCCGTTAAACAAGAGCTAAAGGAAAAACCATCGGAAGTGCGTTTTCCGCCGATGGAGATCTTGTCCTACCTTCTATGTAAGCTTTGGTTTTCCCTTAGTAGATATAATTACCTTGAAGTAGCCGGCCATAGATGAGGGTATCTGGCTCAATCATCCCAGACAATCGCCATTAAAACTTTCACTCAAGCTAAGAACCTGTCGCTAAGCAACATGGGCTCTGATCCTTCAAAGACAGGCGCCCTAGCCCCTGAGAGCTTCCCAACCACGCAGCCGGCCATTCGAATCAAGGTATGAGATGTTGCATATCGCATGCACCGGTCGACTTACACTTCTCTAGGCCGGACTCGCCGGTACATGGCCCTGTGGGGACATTTACTCTGGTTCGACCCTTGTTGGTGTCGTGAGTTATCTCTCTCGGGAATCTCACACTGCGACAGGGATTACTGACAACTCATAGCCTTTCTCGCACGGTACTATCGAGTCGGTCGAGGGCTTCGAGCCCAAGGTCAACTTCACGATCAGCAACGGCCACGACTGGTTCCGCATCGATGCAGACAAGAAGCACGGGCGCCTGGGCATAACGGCAATTGCTACGGATGCCGAAGGCCGGTGCATGCGCGTCATGGCTGATGGCGTCGTCGAGCTGAACGAACCTACTCTGGCTTTGATTATGGGTCATCCAGAAGCGAAGAGTACCCCCTTTGGCTCTGCAGGTGAGATGAGGATTTCTATTCCCAGTATTAGGATTGTATCTAGCTAACAATCGAACAGTTGAGCAAATGAGATTCGAGTGTGGCCATGAACCATATAAGCCGCTTGAAAACATGATGTTTGCCGGCAGCATGCGTTTCCTGAAGGAAGAGAGTGGTGAACTATTTGCTGATATCCGACTGTCCAGAATTGTTGCAGGTTCTGGCTATGAATGAGGGTGTAAATATGCATGACAGTTAGCATTCACATTGACTAGCAAGTTTATACGTTGCAAAATATGGATTGTTTGTTTTATATATATTGCAGAATTGTATTTACTTCATTACTAAAATAATAAATACGACAATTTTCCTTGAGCCAACCACAGGCACGGTTCTACTCTACAGACGATCATAAGGACCGCGAGACGGTCGGCTCATCGGCCTCAGATGCAGACGGCAAGATCACCGTCGCGGGTACTCGGCTTGTTCGCGCCCTGTTCTCCATCAAACGCCTCTGCGGCCTAGGGAGTCAGGACGTCTGGCGCCCGCTCACCAGCTGGTCCACTTATTAGCTGGCCGAATCTGCTACAACGCGCCTCCCAACCAATGATTTCTACAGGACTCAGCCAATCCGGGGCCTGTCCAGGTAGGTACGGGCATTATACTCGGCAAAAGTAGCTGCCCAGCGTCAAGATTGATCTTCGAGTATATATGCTGAGTACAACCACATGCTCTTCAGTAGGCGAATTCCTGACCGACGAGCTTTTCACTCAACTGCCACAATCTCTCTGCTTCGACGACACTGGTTCCCCATGGCTTTACAGTCTCGGTAAAAGGGTTGGCAACATGACAACCTGTCAAATACGCGCCATTATACGCTGAAAGACAGCATGTTAGAATAATGCTTGTGCTTCATACTTGGGGGACTTGTTAATGCCTACCTTCCAGGCCGGGTGCAAATGAAGCGAAGATGTGCGTTGCTGCCCCATGCTGGGCTGAATTGAATGCAACCTCATCCTCTACATTCCCGAGTGCAGCGTCCACGGCCTCTGTGTTTAAAGGTCAGAATACTGTTTTGTGGGTACATATGAACATCAACTCACGGATAGCTGACTGTTCCTCCCACCAGTTCATGTGGTCAGAAAGGTGGGTGAATACAAAGCCTGGGTGTAGACTAAAGGCCAGTAAGCCATGCGTCTCTCCCAGCTTCTTGGCCAGAGACAGTGCCATCAGCATATTCGCTGTCTTGGCTTGGCCATAGGCTTGCCATTTATTATAAGTGTCGCCATCCTGTGCACAAAGTTTTCAGCGTCAGCCAATAGTTATCTTTCCCGGACAAGAGAAGGAAGCATTTTACGTGAAAGTTATAATCCCCCCAGCGGATCGGATTAAAACGATGGCCCTCACTGCTGACGTTTACCACCCTCGGTGCTTCTGATGCCAGAATCTTGCTCATTATCAAGTTGGTGAAGAGGAAGTGCCCCAGATGATTGACGACAAAGGTCATCTCGAAGCCATCCACAGACCTTGCCCACTCGATCCCCATAACGCCAGCGTTATTGACAAGGACATCGATCTTGGGCACATCGGCCCAGCCGAGGACAGTATCCGCTGCCTTGCGGACGGCAGCGAATGAGCTCAGGTCTAGCTCGAGCACACGGACCTCAACGCCAGGATGCGTGGCTTTGATGGTATTAGCCGTCTCCTCAATCTTTCCAACCGTCCGTCCGGCCAGAATCAGTAAGCTAGGCTGGGCTGCCGCGATGGTCTCAACAAAGGTGGCTCCTAGACCTCCCGGTGATACTCCTGTGGTCAAGATCGATTTCCCCATGATTGCAGCTGCCAGATCATGAACCAGTGCATCAGCGGTGGTCTCTGAGCTGTAGGAAGAACTCATTATGTGTGTGTATGTGTCTTAGCAAAGGTGGAATAGTGGCTTCCAACTTTAAGATGTTATTCAATTGATATATTTCCCTTGAAGAACCTTCTATTGGAATTGCTTTGGATACCTGGGGTACCGACAAAACCGACGCATATTGCAGTAATTAAGTTCATACTGAAGAACCGCAGGAGCAATTATTGATTTGTGTTTCCACCCGTAACAGACCGTAAGACGGAACTGTGCAGGGATCAAGGGAGAAAGCCTAAATCTGACAGCGGGACTGGAGCGGCCGAGCGGGAAAATCAAGTCCGCTGTGGGTCTACAAGGAATGAACAAGCAACCAAGTCCTACAAAGATGCCTGGTGCTCATTCAGATAGACTTCCCTGATCCTTTGATCGCAGTGTTAAAATCAGATCAGACCATCAGAATGGGCGACACAACCCCCAGCGAGAAGGGCGCAGCCTCGAGTCTTCCTCCCTTGGAGGATCGACTGGAGATGGATCATCAAAGCACCGAATTATTGTCGGTCGATACCTCACCACGGCAACTCCATGGCTGGAAGGTAGGTCCTGATCTTCCTGCAGAACAACTACTAGTCAAGAGGAAGCTCATGAAGATCCTTCCTTCAGTGGGTCATTAGCTACGGATCTCTTTTGTCTGTGACCTTCCTCTTCGCTCTAGACAATACAATTGTAAGCTCTTCTCATTCTTTTTTTTAATTGATCAGAAAGCTTCCTTCGATCCCGGAGAACTGAAGTCTTTGCTAGGTCGCTGCCATCCAATCATCAATTTTAGCAAGTTTGGGTCGGGTCAATCTCTTCTCCTGGATCGGCGTCAGTTTCTCACTCGGCAGCACTGCCATTCTGGCCTGGTCCAAGGCGTATGGCGTCTTCAATATCAAATGGCTCTTCCTTGCCCACATTGTGATGTTTGAAGTCGGAAGCGCGATATGCGGTGCTGCGCCAACCATGCCTGCCCTGATCATCGGCCGAGTAGTCGCAGGGTTTGGGGGATCTGGCATGTATTCCGGGTCCTTGACTTACATTGCCGCCCTGACATCGATTCACGAGAGACCGCTGTATACGGCTGGCATTGCTGTGATCTGGGGACTCGGGAGTGTCCTTGGCCCAGTGGTGAGAATTTGGCTTCATTATTTTCCTTGTCTTTGAGGGATCAAGCTGACCAGAACAAACAGGTCGGAGCTGGGTTTGCCAGCAGCTCCGCCACATGGAGATGGGTGGGTAGAGATGAAACGTCCAATACCATAATGTCTGCATATTGACATATACCAGGGCTTTTACATCAATATCGTGGTGGGAGCTGTCTTTTCACCGGCGTACTTCTTCCTGCTGCCACAAGTCTGCCTTCGGACCGACAAGACTATCTATCAGAAGCTGCGTATGGTTGACTGGGTCGGAATTACCATTTTTGCTGGCGGTGCGGTGAGTTTCATCATGGCCATCACCTCGAATGGGGGGACTTATGCTTGGGGCTCTGGCTCGGCCATCACTCTCTGGGTTGTATCGGGCGTGTGTCTCGCTGCAACCGTTTTCTTGTCGTACTGGCATCCTCTCGTTGCCGGTGAAGATAGGCTTATCCCGGTACATTTCTTCCGGCGCCCGGTTCTGCTAAACTTGGCCGTTCAGATGTTTCTGGTCTCGGGAGTGATGCTCGGATTTGTATACTACATCCCTGTGTTCTTTGCTTTTACTAGGGTAAGAAGATCGTTCCGTACGGTGTGACGTATGTTGGTTGACTCCTCCACAGGGAGATGACGCGATGCAAGCCGGTGTACGACTACTGCCCTTTGTCTGTCTGATGGTCTTTTCCGCCATTCTGAGCGGTGCTCTCATGCCCAAGACCGGTCATTACATGCCGTGGTATATTGCAGGTAGCCTTCTTGTGACGCTGGGAAGTGGTTTGATGCGTGCGTCCGACTCCTCCAGTCATCATGTTTCAGAATAGGCTGATAAGAAGCCAGTCTCCATCAACGCCGACACTGGACCAGCCAGGGTGTACGGCTATACAGTGTTGGTTGGCGCTGGTGTAGGGTGTTACGTGGTTGCCGGATTCGCCGTGACACAGGCGATGGTGAAGGCAGAGGATGTATCCAATGCAGTCGCATTCCAATCGATTGGTACGATTTCTGTCGCGCTGTGCTTGAACTCGACTGACCTTCTCATGCAGCCCAGGTCCTCGGATGCGTTGTTCTTCTCGCGGTAGCCGGAAGCATCTACGAAAACACCTCTTTAGCTGACATTACCCCTCTGCTTCCAGTCGGCACTCCTTCGACATTCATTACTGAGCTCATAGCGGGTACAAGCAGCTCCACATTCGCGAGTCTCCCGCCAGCAATTGCCCGGGAAGTCATTTTGGCTCTCACCAAGACCCTCCGAAATGTCTGGATTTTCTTCCTGTCATCCGGCGCTCTGAGTCTCTGCCTCAGTCTATTTCTCGACGTAAGTATTCCCTCCGTGAAACCAGACAGCTGCTTATTTGGCCTTCTGCAGCGCAAACGGTTGAATATAACGGCCGGATAATTGAGGCGCAACGTTGCAATTACATAAGCCACAAAAATCAAATTGTGATTTTTGGAGATAGCGGTGGGCAGGATTCACATTGGTAATAGACGAGTTCGAGATGTTGTATGTCTTTAAAAGCGACCATTAATGGTCACGGTAAATTTGTAACTACAAGAAGGAATCGATCAAGATTTAAGCTCTACTGTGTCCTTCTGAAAATAAACCGGCATAATTCACATCTTCATATTATATCATAGTTTTACTGTCTATGGTATTACCAGTAAATCCTGGAATTAATATATCGCGACTAGACTTGCTGACCCAATCCGCAAATCCGTCTCCAAGCCATGTGGATATGGATTGAACCTGTCTAGTCCCCATGGATATCCCAGCTTATTTATCCTAATCCAGGCCTAGATAGACATATATCCTTATGATTATAGATAGATAATAATTATATTCACCTATCTATGAAATAAAATATTAGGTTTCTTAAGAAAAACTAGAGTTACAGTTGATTTTATAATTTAGAAGATGGTACCCTGGATTGTAGTAGTTAAATATATATATCCTACTTGTCACTCTATAGTACTCAGAGGGCAACCCTTCCCCCTATGTAAGGCTACTTATTCTAACTATTGTTACATAATAGGTAATATATAATACTTATATAGATGACTTTCATAGTATCAAGTAGAATATATAGATATCCCATATCCAATCCACGACCAGTCTAAAATTACACGACCGATCTAGGATATGGTGGGGACTTTGTATCAAGGACTTCAAATCTATATACTACGTTTGACAACAAAATATGCAGAACAACGTATGAAGGCTACTTGTGAGAGCCAATCAAATATATCTCATTCGGTGCGTCTAAACTAGAATATCGAACGTGAGAGGGGAAGGGAAGGAGTGGGGGGGAACGCGTGCGAACAACATAAGATAAGCGAGCGAGACGAAGCAAACAGAACAAACAAAACAAGGTCACGTGCAACGAACAAAGTAAGTAAAGCTACGTCACGTGCCTCAGTCACGTCGCTCGCCATGACATACTCAAGTAGGAAGAGAACCGGATCAGACATAGAAAACTGCGTTGGTTCGCTACTATTGATATCGCCTATTCACTCCTCCTCCCTCTGCACCGTAGGGCTCAACAGCGCGCTCTTGGTGGCGATCTTGGCGGCCAACGCAGTCAGAGGATCATTACTCAAAATATCAAACACACTGACGTCGGACTTGGCTTCCTTGAACACCCATGCGCGAACCTCCACCGCAACTAGACTGTCCACGCCGTAGCTGTTGGCCGGTCGACTGGCATCGAGATCGTCCAGCTCCATCATCATTGCTTTGGCCAGTTTCTGCATGAGCGCGCGACACACAATATCCGACGCCTCTCCCATCGTCTGCGCGGCGGCCAGACTCTCGTGCAGGCCCTGGCCCGCGTCCTCGGAGCTGACGGTGAATTCCTGGGTGTCAAAGATCCGCATGTGCGAGAAGCGCGCGTCCCCGAACCAGTACGGCTCGTCATGCCCGTTTTGGTTCAGTAAACCTCCGGTTGCCAGACCCGCAACAATCTGCGCAGGGATGGAATTGTTGATGGCCGCTTCGATGAGGGCGAGCACTTCCTGCTCACGCACACCGGTCATGGCACCTGTTTTGAGATATGAGAGAATCTCGCCTCGCTCGGCCGTGATCCCGACCCCAAGGACGACGCCCAGGTTGATTGACGTGGCATTGAGACCCAGCGCACGTCGATGGTGGCAGATGGCGTCCTGGTACGTGTTGCCGGCGTTGTAGTTGCCCTGACCGCGAGAGCCGACGATGCCTCCCACGGACGAGAGACAGATGAAGAAATCCAGGTCCTTGGGGAGCAGATCGTGTAGGTTGCGTGTGGCTTGCACCTTCGGACGGATTGCCGCATGGTAGTCTTCGACGGTCATGTTCTCGAAGAACACATCCTGCAGGTGCATCGCGCATGTAACAACACCTCGGATGGGGGGGAATTCGACTGCAGCTTCCTTCAGCACGGCATCCAGTTGACTTGCGTGGCTGATGTCGCAGGCATAGGCTTTGACATGCACGCCTTGAGCACGCAGCTTGGCTAGGAGCTTCTTGGCTTCCGGCCGCTTGTCGCCGGACCGAGACGTGAAGATGAGGTTGCGGGCGCCCTGGTCCGCCATCCGCTGGGCCAGAGAACGTCCCAGTCCACCGAGCCCACCGGGGATCAAGTATGTTGCGTCGGCCGTGAGCTCAGCGGGGCGAGCCTTCTGAGGCACAACCTGTGATGATGCTCGTTAGTATAGATTGAGATCTTTTTCTAGGCATTACTACTCACCGGAACAAGATCATCATCGTTTGCCTGAAAGACCATCTTCCCGATGTGTTTACCCGTCTGCATTGTGCGGAAGACTTCTTCGATCTGGGAGAGATTGAAGGTCTTGAGAGGTTTGACAGGGCGGATGATGCCTTCGGATACCATCCTCATCATGTCCGCGATGATGCGGCCAAACAGGGGGATATTGTCGCGGTAGACGCTGAGCATGTTCACACCGCAGAAACGAATGTTGTTCATAAACGGTGCCATGTCTATGCCGGTATTGCCAACGATATCCTTCTTGCCCAGCTCGATAAACCGACCAAAAGGCGCAACGGCAAGCCAGGACTGACGAAGAGCCTCGCCGGCCAGAGAGTTGAGAACAACGTCCACACCTTTCCCGTTAGTCATTCGCTTGATACCCTGGGCAAAGCTGAGGTCACGACTGTTGAAGATATGGTCCTCTGCGATTCCGTATTCCTTCACGAGGAATCGTTTCTTTTTCTCTGATGAGACGGTGACGAAGATCTCGGCTCCAATATACTGGCAGAGGATGATGGCCGCTTGTCCAAGACCTCCAGCCGCAGCATGAATCAGCACACTCTCGCCCTTCTGCAAATGGGCCACGTCAAATAGGGAGTAGTAGACCGTGCTGTAGATACAAGGGATGGATGCCGCGTCTTCAAAGGACATGTCGTCGGGGATCTTTTGGAACATCTCCTCCGGGTTGCGCAGGAAGTTACGGAAGCATCCCAGTCGGAAGGTGATCACTCGATCTCCTACTTTGTACTTGGTGACTCCGGCCCCCACGCGCGCCACTATACCGCTGCACTCGACGCCCAGATCCGTGTCGGCAATCTGGCCCATGGCGATCATGACATCGTGGAAGTTCATCCCCATGGCCTTGACGGCAATCTCGACCTGTCTGGGCTTCAACGGCTGGGAGTATTCCTCGTCGTTCACAAACTGGAACGTGTCCAACATGCCTGGGCTTTTAATAGCCAATGCCAGGGGCCGACCAGGTTGTTTGAATGACATAGGAACTGCATCCGGTGTCTCGGTGATGGAGGAAAGCATCTCGTTGACGGGCGCATCCGGGTCCAGACGGACCGTGTGAATCGTTCCATTTCGGAGAGCATATTCCCAGTCAGGGTGCTCGACGTTCTTTGCCTCCACGCCTGACTGCAGCACACTGTTGATGGCCAGCACCGTGGCTGGATCATCGATACCGACGCCGGGATCCAGGTCCAGTGTGGTGAGCTGCATATGAGGGATCTCGCCTCTGATGGTGCGACCAAGACCCGCAATGATATTCCCCTCGGGTGTAGAGCTTTCCATGGCCGCACCCCGCGTCAGCCACAATGTGGATTCAGACTGGAGGATCATGCGTTTGACGGCTTCAAACTCTTTCCGGCTGGCCTGATACAACAGCGGAGTGTATGCTTCCAAGAACGAGATGCATGCCTTCCCTGCTAGCTCGTGCTGGTCAAGCTGCTCCATGGAGATTAGTTCAGCCTTTGTACCTTTCCCGGCGAGCGCTTCAATTAGCTTGGAACAGAGTCCCGTGACGGACGGGGTGGGCTCAGCAGGATGAACAAGCACAGCATTCTTGGGAAGCCCTGGCGCTGGTGTCTCTGGAACGGCGGACGAAAGCATGAGGGAGACGGAGTATTCCTCTTCAATCTTGTGGTCCCGGAAACACATGTCCAGCCCGCTGAATCCGGCTTGTCTGAGTGCTGTTTCCCATTCGTTTTCGGACAGTCTTGGCCCGTACTTGCGACCGTCATTTTCTCCTGTGGAGTGTCATTAGCGATCTCTGCAGTTACGTTCATCGTGTTCTGGAATAGGCATACCCATCCACCATCCTGATAGAGTACCGAAGATCATTGGGATTCGGGCCAATGTGCAAGTGAGCTCCCCGAGAAGCAGAACTCCTCCTCTGTGGTGGAGTTAGACACCGACGGCGATGAAGTACATTCGGAGAACAAGGTGTACTTACGGTTTGAGCATATTCCTACAGTTCGCCAAGCAGGTACTGATGGAAGACGTCGCATGCAGCACGTTGTTGGCAATGACCAGATCATAGTGGCCCATGGGCATCCCCTGCGCCCCAGCGTCCTTCTCGATATTGAGGACTTTGTACTGCAGGAACGGCGCCCAGGGTGCGAACTCCTCCGATGCCTTCTCAAAGAAACCACTGCTGATGTCAGTAAATGTGTAGGACTGGAGACGCATCGAGGTATCGTGACGGTTTCCCAGCGCCTCCAGGACCACCGAGGTTGTGCCTCCTGTGCCCGCTCCCACTTCGAGAATCTGGAGGTCTTTCTTATGGGACAGCAGCTGGACATATTTGGCGATGATGGGATTCCACTTGTTGACACCAATTCCGTTGCGGTAGTACTGGGTGAGCAAGTCACCCTCCCGCATGAGCTGCAGTGGCTCTAGCTCTCCTCGAAGGATTTTGTCGTAGTCAGTCCCAAGGCGGCACATGAGCTTTCCATCCACGGTGGAGGCCGCTGCTCGCGAGAGGACTTCCTCGTCAAACGAGTCGGTCGTGTTGAGCCAATCCACGTTGGGGATGCTCCGTTGGCAGTTCAGCTTTCCCTGCGTGGCCAGTTCATATTGATGCTGCATATACTTGTAGAAAATGCGATGGTGGGGTGCAAACGTCTGACTGTCTTCTGGGCCAAACTGCCGC